CTTACAAGAACAGATATTTATAAGAAAACAAGGCACATTTTGGAATCCTATTCGGAAAATATACTGACTTCTTTTTCAGTGGTGCACAATCCAATCAATATTGCATTGCAAGAAAAACTGAAACAGCACACAGATGAAGACATGTTGAAACGTTAGTAAACCTGGGGGTGGGGCAATCTAGTCAGTTACCTGTTTAATTCAGGATAGAGAAGCTCTGTTTTGGAAATAAGTAATTCAGTGAAACAACACACAGGATAGAAAAAAGAACTTCTCAAATAGGAGGAGCCTAGGTACAGAACTAAAAGTACACTTGAGGGGCGCCTGGGTAGCTCAGTCGGTTAAGCATCTGACTTCAGTTCAGGTCATGATCTCGCGGTCCATGGGTTCGAGCCCTGCATCGGACTCTGTGCTGACAGCTCAGAGCCTGGAGGCTGCTTTGGATTCTAGGTCTCCCTCTCTCTCTGCCCCTCCCCCACTCATGCTCTGTCTCTTTCTCTCTCAAAAATGAATAAAAATTAAAAAATATTTTTAAAAAAAAGTACACTTGATTTGGTAAAATCCTATTTAGGGAACCAGTAACCTGTTAATTTCATAATACAATCACAAGGTAAAGCATGCTAAAATCTTCCTGGGTGATGGACAGAGAGTACAGGACTCTGATCTTCTCCTGGCCATGATCTGGAGAGCGGGACATGAGACGTAGATGTTTATTCGAAAAGGATGTTGGTTAAATGCTTGTGAAACACTGGTTCAAGAAGACTGGTTTGTTCTCTGTAGAAGCAAATGATTAAAAAAAAAATCCACATTTTAAGACTGGCTTTGCTTATAATTGGCAAAAGCTTATTTTTACTTGGACTTTAAGCATGTTTACTTTGGCAGATATGAAGATGACAGCCACATGTTTGCTCCTACCAGATGTTTTTGGGGACGATCCCAGTCTTTTTGTCATTGTGAATGAGAAGGTATGTAGTATGTCAATGATTGGGCTTGACAGTTCATGTCTTCATGTGATCATTTATTCGAACGCAGGGTGGTGGCCCCTTTTGAAGTATGGTTTTGTCATATTTACCAATACGCTGCACAGCAACAAGCTCATTAATTGAGGCACCTTTATGACTTAGCGATTTTCCATATCACAGAGTGGTGACTCCATTATCTATTTTTTTTCAGGTGCAAGTGTCCACACCCGTGTTAGAAGTCAAGAACCCTTTCAACACTGATGTCTGTGAATTTTCTTTGTATTTAGAAAAAGAGAAGCTCACGAAGGTGGATGACTGTGTTACGGCCTTGGCTGCTCTCATAGCTGCCTTCCATGTATTTGGAGTTGAGTGTCCAAGAGGACTGTCCCAAACCCTCAACTTCCTAGAGACGTTGATTTTTGACATGCACAGTCCCCATTTTCCTTCTATGAAAGAAAAGGAAAAGGAAATAGCGTTTCGACACCCACTTACCTAATGTGAGGCCAAATATTGCATCAGAATTGATTTCTAGGGAAACCTAAAACTTTGCAAAAAATTGTTTTGACTTAGGGTTATGGTAGAGGTAGGTATTATCTTGTGTCAAAGGATGCAAATGAATTTCAGTACCTTCTTTCTATATAGTTAGACACTTGAAATTCTTTGTGAAATTCTGTAATAAAATACTATTTAAGAGCGGTTTCTTTTGATTCGAGTTCTAAGAAATTCCATAGCCCAAGCTACACTTTTTTTTAAAAATTTTTTTTTAACGTTTATTTATTCTTGAGACAGAGACAGAGCATGAACGGGGGAGGGTCAGAGAGAGAGGGAGACACAGAATCTGAAACAGGCCCCAGGCTCTGAGCTGTCAGCACAGAGCCTGACGCGGGGCTCGAACTCACAGACTGTGAGATCATGACCCGAGCTGAAGTCGGACGCTCAACCGACTGAGCCACCCAGGCGCCCCCCCACGAAGCTACACTTTCAAGGGGGCATTAGTTTTTGAAAGGCCCTACGTTTCAGATACACTCAAGTCCTTCAGATTAGGGTATGACATCTTACCCTTCGCTCAGTGTGCCCAACTTTGGAAGACTTAATGCTCAGGAGCTGTACATTTGTGGCCCGTGGGCGCATACTCCCCACTTCTTTCCCCCTGCTGACCTGCCTGGCTCCAGGCATTTTGGTTTCCTTCGACCACGTGTGTTGAGAACCAAGGCTCTTCTTACTGCTTGCTGAGCTCACTGGCATGGGTCCTGATCACCTGTGACCTGTGTAGCCTTCCACTGCTCCCGTCTCTTGACATGTAGTGATGGCCCTGTTCTGGTCTCCTCAAAGTTTCTCCTTTTCTCTGGCTTTGACCTCTGGTGTTGGTGTCTGTCCTGGCTGCCGCTCAGGTTTGTCTGGGTCTATAATATGGACCTGGCCTTTCTCCGCCAGAACCTCTTGGGCACCAGTTTCTGGACTCGCTCTCCTGCCCGTCTCAGAAGTCCAGGTCCTGGTTCCTCATCCATCCAGCCCAGAGTCCCATGTTATAATTCCATTTGTTCTGTTCCTAAAGATGGTGCATAAGTAAGTACTTCTTAGGTCTGGCAAGACTTGCTGTACTCTTTTCAAGTACTTTATAAGGAAAAATGATAACACTACCGTTTCAAGGTGCCTGCCCCTTGAATATCATTACCACAGCATCATCATAACCTATCAGTTTTGACAGAACAGATTGATTTAGAGACTGAAGAGATCTAAGTGTGCTAATACTTGGCAATGTGATGAGCATTTCTGGGGTTACTTCATCAAATTATTTTTTTTAAAGCTTAAGAAGGGGTTTGTATGAATTATTCAAAAAATATTTTTATGACCTACATCTCTGGAAATACATTTATTCTGCAAATATTTATTCTAATATCTTTTTCTCTATAAGTTCTATTTATTACAATGCTTAAGTCAGTGAGACAGAAGATGAAATTTCAATCAGCTGCTCCCCTTTACGATGACTGTTGACTAACTGCTTCCATGAGACTGGACAGGCAGAGGACCAATTTGATAGATGTCATTTTCACATAAACTAATCCCTATTCCATGGCTTCCACTTATTCCATTTCACTGGAATGTGCCTTTAGTTCCTTACGAACTTTATTTCCCTAAACCTCCCCCGCCCACCTTTTTTAGTTTCACAAGCTGTCTTATTCTTCCTCTCCCAAATGAATTTACCAAATTCTTAAAGATTCCTTTCCTTAGGAACACACAGTGTCTGTGGCTAAAGGTCAATGAAAACTTCTCTTTGTCTCCACAGGCTGGGGAAGACAGGTAGGGGGTGGAGCCACAGGAACACTGCAGTGAGGTCTGGCTCTAAACGTGACAGACATGAGCTGACCATGAGGGCAAATCCACATTAAGCTTTATTGTCTGTTTCATTGGTACATGATCCCCAGTGCCCAGCATGACCTTGCCACTTGGTAAATTTTCATATTGCTTCACCAACACAACCCTATTTTCTTTGGAGCCTGGGTCTACTGAATCTAGAAGTTGCAAAATGGCAGCCCGTGGTCATATTTCAACCTGCAGACGGGTCTCATTTGGTTTACACAGTGAAACTTTTTAATGTCCTTAGATGGGAAGGCCCTATCAATTTCTACATTCCCTATCCCTTTGTTTGCTTTAGCCCAAGCCTGTGTCTCTCACGTCAGGGACCTCCCTGTCATCATGGTCCTATTTCCTGTGTGAAACCTTAGACTACATCCCAGGGAAGGAATGGTGAAAAGGTTTCCCCTACTTGAGGTACACTGTTCCACCTAAGGATGCTTAGAAGCCTTGCCTCTAACATATAAAACCTGCTGCTTAGAATGAATATTTTAAATAACACTTAAAATTCTCTTTGTTAAAACATGCTTTAAATGAGAAAGAAAAAAATCCCCAATAGGTGTGAAACCTACTTAACCAAACAACTTATTTACTTAGGTACTTATTTATTGTCATTCTTTGCATCATCTGGGACATAACCTGACAACTTTGAATCCTGCAAATACATCCCCCATAGCTTTGTAATGCCCAAATCTTTGACACTGTTCCTGCTCTCATGTGTCAGACAAGCTTTCTAAAAAAAAAAAAAAAAAAAAAAAATCATACATGTGTAAAAAAAGTATCTGCAATTAAGATTTTATTTCATTCGTGTCAGATATAACAAGTGCAACTTGAATATACAAATTCTGAACAAAACAAAACAAAAAAACCAACAACGAAAAACTTATTGTAGCAAATTCATGCAAAGAAATAAAAGGGAGGCTGCAGATACCATGGCCTTTTGAATGCTGACAAATGCAAAGGACCAGCGGGGGACGTCCCAGGAAGTCCCACATCAGAAAAAATGAGAGCAAGGAAGGAGAGAGGTGGAACTTGCCCCAGAATTCAGACAGCATGCTATGAACTGACTACTGACTTTTATCTTGGCCCTTGAATAAATGGCCAATCCTAGAAGTAGACATTGTCTCCAAAGGCTAATAATTTACCTTTTGTGTTGGAAAGGCAGTGTCACGAAAGAAACACTACAGCTAGCAGTTTATGGATAATCCAGGGCTTTCATTTAAAGTGCATCTGTACATTTACAGAAGTTAGGGGAACTGTTCTACAGAGAATCTTTCCAAAACGGAGGTTCTTGAATAACTGCTTTGGGAAACCCCCTCCTGGATCTGTGAGCATTTACAATCTTTGTGCTGACTGGTGTTGCTCTCTCACACTCCGCCCTTTCACTAAAATCCACATACTCTCTCTTCAGCCAACTCTAAGAAAACCTTTGGGTCTGGAGGAAGAAGATCTGGGACAGAGCTCTTTATGGATTAGTGTTTCCATCAACAGATGAGCCCTTCAGCCCCTGAAAAGCACTACAGTTACGTCATGGACAATCGGAGAGAAGCTTAAGATCATCTCATAAATAGTTCAAGATCCTTACAAACAAGCCCTCCCCCACCCCGCCCCCAATATAATTGCATATTCCTTGGATACCACTGGACTCTTGTAGATACACAGGGCACCACAATGTAGAAGCCTGGATGCCATTCAAATACATCACCTAATTTATTGATATATTTTATTTTTCAATTCCATTATTTATATACACGTTTTTGGTAATTATAGTAATGATGCTGGTGAAAAGTAATTTAACATTTCATAATGCGTGCAAAAGTAAAAACACTGATTTAGAGAAAAGTAATTTTTTACATCTATTCAGCCCCAACAGATTATGACAAGCAGTTAGGCAATATCATGACTTGCAAAGTTATACTTAGCATAATGTTGCAGTTCAAAATATGGCACAGAATTAACAATACAGGTAACAGTCCCACTGGCTAAACTTGGCCAGGTCTTGACTAATTTGGTTTAAGTTGAAGTTGGATTATATAAAAAGGTTTCTGAAAGTACTGAAAAAGAAACCGTGTACATGAAAGAGGACTCAACAATGTTTACAAAATGCCAAAAGTTCTTATCCCGACCCCCCCTTTACCATAAATAATTAATGAAGTTCCCTTTCCCTCCCACCCCTCCCCCAGCCTCAAAAAGATTTACAAAGATAAATTTAGCTCAGTGAACAGAACCAAAGGATGAGTGCTCTTAGACAGTACCTGGTTAAAAGCTGAAGCACTTTCATAAGGATTCATATATATTGTCTCTTGAGGAATATAAATAATCTGATAGCGTTGCTCTTTTGAGTTTGGGAGACTTCTCGCTTAGGAGTTAGAACTGTCCTTGTGCTTTGAATAAAACATGAGCTTTAAAGCAGAAAGCTGATGGTATTCAAAATTCACCATCTTCAAAGTTCATTGTGAGAGTTCTTCTCTGCAGCTTTGAACATCAGGATAGAATTGAAAATTTTGAGAGCAGGTCCCAACTTAATGCTCATAATTTTAACAATGTCTGTTTGGGTCATGAGCAGAAAGGCTTCTCCATCAATTTGCTAAAAGGGGAGGAACAGACAAAAAGATTATGAATCGATCAGATGTAGTGTTGGGCAAATATCCAAAGTTAAGTTACCAGCTGTCCTCTGCGGAGCAGACGAGAGTTCGTGTGTGCAAACATTTCCTGGTTGATGAACCTTTCTTATCTACAATAACCAAACTGGAAGCAATGTGGACTGGAAGCAAACATAAAACTCGGTCCTCTGAAAAATCAGCCCACAGGAAAATGGAAGGTGCCCGTATTTTCCCGGGATTGCTCTGACTTAGGCAATGAGTCCACAGGAATTTGGATAAATCTGGGGTGACTCAGATCCAGTTCCCATTATGGTAGATTTTAAATGCGAGTTAAGCACACAAATGTTTGTGGATATAAACAAAGGAATTCAGGCAAACATGTCAGCTGTGTGCTAACATTTTTTTTTATTAGCTTTCCCCAGTGAAGGAAAAAAAAAAAAAAACAGTGATAACATTCATTTTTAGAGTGGCTACAACCATTCTTTGTATGCAGAAAAAAAAGGAGTTACTACCAAGGCAATCAACAGTGTAGATGGAGACACAGGAAATGAAGGTGATGAACGTGGTGTGGAGAGCTGTAGACTGGGTGACCACAAGAAACATCCTTCCTCCCCCTGGGTCTCTTCCAAGACTAAACTTCTGTGCTTCTACCAGAACTAAACTTCTGGTTTAGTGGACAGAACAAAAGAATAGTCTTTTTTGTAAAAATTTTCAGGTTTGGGGACATTCTACCACCTTCAAAAACAATCATTCATTTCTCTTTCGGTTTTTCCGTTTTACACCACAAGTGAAAGAAAAGTAAAACACACTTTGGCTCTCTGCCTCAGAGTACATCACAAACCTTGACAGCAATGTACGGTTTTGGGTTGATGGTGTCTGTCCCAAATTCACCTGCTGAAGTCCTAACAGGGCCCTAAGAAGCTCAGAACGTGACCTTATTTGGAAACAGGGTCACTGCAGGTGCAATCGGTTAAGATGAGATCATACTGGAGTAGGGTGATCCAAGATGATGGAAGTCCTTAAAAAAAAGAGGACATCTGGAGCCAGAGGCAGACATGTATAGAGGGAAGACACTGTGAGGAAAAGGTTTAACAGCATCTCCAAGTCAAGGAGGGCGGCCTGGAACAGAGGTTTTCCTCTGACCTCAGAAGGAAGCTATCCTGCTGACAACCTTGCCTTCTTGCCTTCTTCAGACCTCCAGCCTCCAGAACTGGGAGACAATACATTTCTCTTGTCTAAACTGCTGGTTTGTGGTTCTTTGTTATGGCAGCCTCAGCAAACTCATACCAGTCTAAATTCTGTAGACAGTTTACTAAATAAAGGCTGAAACAATTAAGCCGCTGTTTAAGATTTTCCTCTTTCCTCCAATAACAAAGCAAACCTGTAAATCCTTTTAACCAGTACCAGGGTCATCTTATGCAACTTCAAGCAGTGACTGTTTGGAAGAAGTTTCCCAATTTTCAGCAAGGAAGCATCTTAGTGTCTGTCATACCCTAGAAGGAAAGGCACTCCCACGTAAATTTCCGAATGAAGACAAGTTCAGTGGCAGCTAAGAGAAATGTTCTGTTGCTTCTTGGGGAGCATTTGCTCTGGTCTCATTTGCTTGTGCTCTGACAGTCCTCGGGTCAAACGAGGCCAAGCAGAGAGGCAGATCTATTAACACTTCACTCAACCAAGGCAGACCTTAGTAGCATAAACGGTCTGATCGAAGTCTTCTAAGTCATTAATGAAAAGGTCAACTAACACACCGGTTCCCAAGGAGCTCATTGCAAAGACGGAATTGTTTATTATAACCTCGGGCCCTACTGAGTCTCTTGAGATTATATAAGAGTTTAACATGACAGATGACTGACGAAAAGAAACATTTAGAGAATGGCAAGGCTGGAACCTGAAAGCTAGGAGTGGGGTGAGAAGGTGAAGTTTTGGTAGATTATTTTTAAGGTTACACTGGAAAGAAAAAGTCAGCTTGAGGCGGGTGCCAGCCAGTATATTTCACACAGGCTGCTCCAACGTGTGACCATATGGACAAGCCTCATTTGGAAGGAAGTAAACTAAATTTGAGAAAGCACTTTCTAAGCACAGTGATCACCGCAGTGTAATACTGGGTTTGCTTCTGTTTGCCTTTGTGACGTATATAAACTGCTCTAACTCCAGAGATTAGAGATTAAGTATCTCGCTAACGGCCCAAAACTCTGAAGGAGGGTTTGGAAGTCAGGCAGGATTCTGGCCTTCCATTTCATTACTCTTTCCAGCACTCCTGGTTCTGCTCCCCATGCTTTAACTCTGCGAATCACAGTGACATGCTGTTTGCGTGTCTTTCTCAGAGGGTAAAGGTATGAACGTGCTCACTCAACACACACTTATTAAACACCTATCACATTCCAGACACTCTTCTTGGGCCTGTGCATACAGCAAAGAATAAAAGAGATATATAAGCAAAACCAAGCAAATGGGTAAACCAAAACTCCCTGTGAAGTTTATGGTCTAGTAGTGGAAGAGAGACTGTAATCAAAAAGTATGACAGGTAAGCAAATTAATTAGTAACGAACTGACAGTAATAAATTCTAAAAGGTGATCAGTGCTACGAAGAAAACCTCCGGGTGGGGAGGTGGCTGTACAGCAGGGGCAGGGATGGATGACTGAGAAGGTGGCATCTGAGCAGAGGGAGCACGGCATGTGAACGTCTGGAGGAACAGCATCCCGGGCACAGCAGACACAGAAGGCGCCTGGACAATGCGAAGAATGGCAAGGAGGTCAGTGTGTGCAACAAACAGGGTAAGCCAAGGATGGAGCAAGCCGAGGTCAGGAGGTTCTCGCCTCTCTAGAGGTCACGGCAGGCCCTTGTGAGGATTTTTGCTTTTATTCTGCTTTATTTACTGGAAGGCTACGAATGGAAGAGTGACATGATTTGACTTATTTTGAGCAGGATCATTCTGGGTAGGCTGGGAACAGACTGTAGAAGAGCAAAATTAGAAGCAGGGAGACTGGTTAGGACGTTACAGTGTTGATCCAGGTGAGTGAGGATAGGGGCTCAGAGCATAGTGGCAGTGATGAAGGCAGAGACACAGCCAGAATCCCTGTATGTTTCCAAAATACGCCCAATAGGATTTTCAACAGATTAGATGCAGAATGTGTAAGAGAAAGTGACGTCAAGCATGGTTCAAATCATAGCCCGTCCTAACACCTGTACTTTGCCTCTTAGAGATGACTTACCAGGGTTTAGTTAGATTTGTTTTATGGTTTACTTCTAGGCCTTAAAACCAACACCTGCTGACCTTGTGAGACATGAATTTCACAGGAATTTATAGGATGAATAAATAAAGGAATGAAGGACTATGCAAACAATCACTGTCTCGCTCCTCACAAAGAGGATCTGGCTTTGAGAACACTGTTGCTCTGTTATTTAGTTTCAGTAAGATTCAAGTTCAGGTTCAAATATGTTCTTTCTTTGAATACATTTTTCTACGCCACGAAAGCATATTCAAAGAAAGAACATATCTGAACTTGAATCTTACTGAAACTAAATAACAGAGCAAATCCATATGGATTGTCTAGATATCAACAGAACAAAAAACAGTTCTAATATAGATGTACTATAAACTTATTTTAAAAAATGTTTTATTATCTCAGGTAACAACTACATGACTTTTTTTTTTTTTTTTCCACAGAAAGAACAACAGCTCCCTGCAGATGTCTAAATCTGTTCAGGGACTGAAAATTAACTGAGTGTGATCCACGAAGAACTTAGAATTTAGGAGTTAAGGAAAGAAACTCAAAATCTGAACAACTATCAATTAAAGACCAACTAGAAAGAAGATGAAACATTCCTGAAACAAGAACATAAATCAGAAAAAAAGGATGCTGAAAATCAGATCCTTGTATACTTTAGCAGGCTTCTGTCTAAAACAAAATAATACTAATAGTATAATGATGCTGACGATGCTTGGATCCTTAGCTGTCTTGATACTCTTGCCAGGCTCTTTTTTTTTTTTTTAATTTTTTTTTAAATTTTTTTTTTCAACATTTATTTATTTTTGGGACAGAGAGAGACAGAGCATGAATGGGGGAGGGGCAGAGAGAGAGGGAGACACAGAATCGGAAGCAGGCTCCAGGCTCTGAGCCATCAGCCCAGAGCCGGACGCGGGGCTCGAACTCACGGACCGCGAGATCGTGACCTGGCTGAAGTCGGACGCTTAACCGACTGCGCCACCCAGGCGCCCCAAAATTTTTAATGTTTATTTACTTTCGAGACAGAGACAGAGCATGAGCAGGGGAGGGGCAGAGAGAGAGGGAGGCACAGAATCTGAAGCAGGCTCCAGGTTCCGAGCTGTCAGCACACAGCCCGACACGGGGCTCGAACTCACGAACCACGAGATCATGACCTGAGCCAAAGTCGGACGCTTAACCGGCTGAGCCACCCAGGCTCATCTTGCAAGGCTCTTAATTGAAAGTATGCTATTCTTAGCAGCTGAGGCTACACAGAGGCAAAGAAGGCATATATACTTGTAACTATAGAAAAACCTTCTGAGATTACTTGGGTCTTCTTTCGACCTTCTGGTAGCCAAGATGAGAGTGAAAACAGACTGCTCTGCTTGGAGGCGCTGACAGGCTAGGGGCTTATTTTTAAAGGGCTCTAGTGAGAACAGAGTCTGCTATACTCAAATAGCATTACATGCACGGTAGTTAAAGCCAATTTCTTTTTTGTTTTAATGTTCAATATAGGTCATAACATTATTAAGCATCTCTTATCTTGATGTTTTGGGCAGGCAGAGGATAAACTAATCTCCCAAATGCAGACGGTAATGACTATCAGTTATTATAAACATTACTGAGATAGGTATAAGATCTAAGGGGTTGTTTTAGCAGTAACAGTAATATTTAGTATAACATTAAATGAATTTAATCTTGGTGTTGTTAAAGTGATGTTTGAAAATAAAATAATGGGAACTAATTTCACTGTATTCAAAACAAAATGTTGCTTATCTCCCTCTTTGGTTTCTTTCTGTGCTATAAGAAAATGCATGCTATTAAGGTTTTTGCGTGTGGTTTGTTTTTTAGGAACGGGTCTGGTGCTATTGCTGTGGAGCATCATAAAATGGTACAAACACTTCTGTTACATCCGATCTCATAGGAAGACATCTGTGTACAAATGACGAATGCTGCCTGTTAGACAACGCCATGCCAATCTGTCGATTTCAACACCAGGGCTCTCTTCCCTCCTCTCCCAATTCAAAACATCTAACCGTTCACTGCATTTCAGTGGGACACTTACTTCATCTTTAAATACCTTTCCGTGTTCTTCACAGCCAGGTAAGCTTTGTATGAATTCTGACACCTGTCAAAAATAAGGTAACAATTCCAGTTGAAAACAGAAGCCCGAATCTAAGTGCTACAGGTTCAAAATGTTTAACCTGCATGCGTTAGTTGTTTCTCTCAGAACAATTTCTTCCCTTTCAGGAAGAGAGACTAAGCCCCACACACATTCACTGTATCTGCTCCTGAAGCCAGAATTGCTACATCCAGTTCCTGGCAGACAAAGAAAATGAAATATACCTCATCTGTGCTCCATTTGGAAACTTTACTGGCAGGAATTCCAGCTACGGTGGGGAGAAGTTTGCTCTGCTGCTCCCAGCGCAAGGGCAGACATGGAATTGGTGATTTAAAGGACAGAAAGACAGCCGACCGGCGCTGTGCTTGTTGTAGGCTAGGTTCTTCCCGGGCACCTGCTGGATTGAAACAAACCGGAACTCACGCTCTGAAAAGGCGCAAAGACAGCCCCAAGTGCCAGGTGTCTCCCCCAAATAATGAGTTGGTGGGCGGCACCTACTTAAAGCATGCTTCCTTTCAACATTATTGCCAGTGAACAATTACACTCTCCTTTGTCCTTACAGAAGGTTAGGTCACGGTAAGAAACAACCTGTAAATTCAACTTACACGTTTGCCACATTACCCTTTATGGAAGATGTGTCACGTTAACAATGTTGCCTCTTTAATGTCTCCTGAAAGATACTTGCCTCCCAGCTTTAGTGGCAAGGAAAAGGACTATCCAAGCCTCAGGAAATGGTTTTGTGTCCCTTTCAGTTGTGGATGTCCTAAAAGTAACCACCAAATTGTACATGCTCGAGTCCAGCCACTGTGGTTACCCTGTGTTACTAGACCTGTTCTTTCCTTTTAGCTCAGCCCTGGTTTCATCTTTCAATTTCTGTTTACCAATCCCATTGGCTTTTTAAATAGCCTACTTAATTTTTTTAAAGGGATATGAAATTATTGCAATAAAAATAAAACAGAAAGGCAAATGCTTTTTTTGTATTTGTGCTTTTCATTCTTGTATTTGTGAAGATCAAAATTAAAGCTACAGAATATTCCATTCATCCGCCAGATCTTCTGAATCCAAACATATTTACTGCTGCTCTCCTAAAACAGCCATTTCTTAGCAAATGATTTTATGTCACTGGGACTTCTAAAGTTTGTCAGTAATTCTCTCAAGATCCTTTAGAAAAGAAAACTTCTGAAAACTACTTACTCAAAGCCCATCAGAAGAAAGGCTCCTCCTCTACATTTACTCTCCTCCACCCCTACACCATCTCAGTTACAATGCTACTTCAATTTCGGGGCACCTGCGTGGCTCAGTCAGTTAAGCATCTGACTTCGGCTCAGGTCATGATCTTGCAGTTCACGAGTTTGAGCCCCACATCAGGCTCTGTGCTGACAGCTCAGAGCCTGGAGCCTGCTTTGGATTCTGTGTCTCCCTCTCTCTCTCTGCCCCTTCCCCTCTCACACTCTGTCTCTCTCTTTCTCTCAAAAATAAATAAACATTAAAAACAATGAAAAAAACAAAAACAATGCAACTTCAATTCCACCACAAGTTTTTGCCAAATGGTTACCCAGTTTAGGCTTTTGTGTCACTGAGACTATTTCAAACTGGCTTGTATCTCTAAGATTATTTTAAGGTTTTTTTTTTTTTTTTTTTTTTGAAGAGTAAGCTTTACAGAAAAGTAGACAAATCGTTAAGTGTACATACAGCTCAAAGAATTTTCACAAAGTGAACACACCAATGTACCTAACACCAGGATCAAGAAACAACATGGCGGCACACCCAGAGCCTCCTGTGTCCCCTTCTAATTACACCCCGGCCAGCAAGGGTGACAACCACCTTCCTGACTTCTAACACCACAGGTTCTTTACCCTGCTTCTGAATTACACTCAGACGAAAATCTTGGCGTTTCTGGCTTCTTTCTCTCAACAGCATTGATTATGAGATTCTTCCATATTGCTCGTTGAATGTGCTCTTTGCTGCATGGTTTTTCAATAGTTACGAACATTCCACAAGTAACTGGGAGTTAATGGACATTTTAGTTGTTTTTAATTTTTGGCTATTACCAACAGTGTTGCTTTGAACATTACCTGTACCAGTCTTTTCTTGGACACATGTATGATTTCTGTTGTGTATGTGTATGTGTATATGTGTATGTAGTGCATGCGTGTGTGTGTGTAATATATATATACAAATTCTGCCAGTTTTCCAAAAACAGTTATGCAATATGTATCCACTAACAGTGTAAGGGGGTTACAAATGCTTTCCATCTTCAGTAACATGTAGTATTGTCTATCTTTTTACACTTTAACCATTTTGGTGAATTTGTTGTGGTATCACATGTGGTTATAATTGCAGTTGCCTGATAACTAATGAAGTTGACAATCTTTTCCTATGCTTATTGGCCATATGGAGAACCTCCTTTGTGAATTATTTATGTTTTATGCCCGTTTTTTCCATTGGGCCATCTTGCCTTATTTCTTACTGATTTGTAGAAGATACACACACACACACACACACACACACACACACACACACACACACACA